ATGATTACCTGATTAATGCGATCAGTTAAATGAGTTTAAATGTCATTTAGGTCAAATGTATTTTAAAGGTATGATAAAAGTTTTTTTTTTTTTTTCAATCTATTTTTTAAAATGTTTACTCTGGAGAGAATATAAACAGCCTAAAAAACAAAGTATGCATATCTATAACACATTAATACAAAATTATGTTATTAAATAAAATAATAACAAAACAAAATATTCAAGACGTGGTAAACAAGACATAGTTTTCTGATGTGCAAATTTTGTAGCTTAAAATATATTTATATCTTAAAAATATAAATATTTTAGTCTATATATTTTTACATCATTAGACAATAAGGTAAGTTTTGTTATTTCTAGCTTTTAAAATCAGGCCTTAAATTTCTTTGTCGTCCTATTCAGTTTTAGAAATTTCAATACTGTTTAAATTAAATCTGTGTTCATCAAATCAAAGCAACTAACATGATAATCAGCTCTATTGCTAACCGTTTTGGAGGTTAACGTTAGACATCATGCAATTGTACTACTTCCACTCTCAGCTAAATGACACTGTGACTTTGTGTACTTACAGAATTGAAGGTCGGGTGTTGCTGACTACAGATAGGAACTACAAGGAAAGTGAAACTTCAGCTAGACCTTGAGTTCAGTTTACAACATGAAGATCCTGCTTTCAACATCTGATCAACACCTGATTTTTTATCTGAGGTAAAAAATAGATAAGTAAATGAAACATAATAATAATATTAATAATTTTTTTTCTAGAATTGTATATTTTGTGGTGTGGGTTTGTTTTATGAAATTCTCTCTTGTTTCTTTTTGCTGTTTGCAGAGTACCAACATGTTACAAATGAGAATTTTCCCCACAAATTCTTTGCACAACTGGACCACCACCTATTTCATTTGATGACAATTTCAAGGCAAACAGCATCCAAAACTGGCAAGACAGCAGATACCCTGGCTAATCTTTTAAAGGCTTATGATGAGCAGGTATGTTTGGGGTCACGTGTTAAAGTATACATTAAAATATAATTTGAATTTTTTTTTTTTTTTTAATTGATTTAAAATCATTTATTCATCATTTATTATACTTGATTTCCAGGAACTGCATGATGTCAGTTCATGACGGACTACTCTTATCAGAGGTCTTTTGGTCTTGCTGCGTGAGCGTGACTTAAGATTCTTTAGGAACACCCTGGTAAGACTTCATTCATTCTTTTCACAATTAGGCATGTTTAATAAAAAGATGAAAGTTTTGAAAACTTTTACTTAACATATTTGTAATCACGGATAGTTGATGAATCATATAATATTGGCTCAGTCATTTTGATACTGTCCTTACATTAATATCCTTGAATTATATTTTTAGATTGATAATCCTGCTGACTGAAGATGCTTTATTGGCCCTGCATTCACTGAGGGTCTCTGTTGTCCTGAAGAATGAATTGGACACCACCCACAGCACACTTCCAGACCTTTCTTGTCTTGTATGGATTAATGTATGTTCTTCACATAATATATAGTAAAGGACTTTGAACTTGTGCAAAAAGTTTTGCTTGGCATGGATGATGGAAAATAAAAAGTCTCGTAGCATGGAAACCTTAAAGAATGAGTTGATTGTTTTTTTTTTTTTACTTAATAAAGACTGTCTCTGGGGTAGTAACTTCAAAACATTTATTTACCTTTAATTCGTAAGGGTGCATTTTATTATATATAGGGATAGTTTGTCCAAATGTAAAATTCTGTCATTTACTAACTCTTCACTTGTCCCAAACCTGCTTGAATTTCTTGCTTCTGTTGAACACAAAAGTTAAGTAAAGCTGACAACCTGTAACCACTGACTTTCTAATAGGAAAACAAATACTGTGGAAATCGGTGGTTACAGGTCTCAGCTTTTTTTTTTTTTGGTCAAAAATAACCTTTTAAGTGTTCAACAGAAGAAAGAAACTTAAACAGGTTTGGAATAAGTAAATGACAGAATCATAGTTCAACCAAGACTGAATATATATATATATATATATATATACAGTTTCTGTGTAGTTTACACTAAACGAGTCACTTCACAGAATGTGCACTTATTATTTTTTTAACGAATGCCTTATTTTATTTGTGAAACTGACGATGGAGAAGTTAATTTTAAAAAATGCTATCAAAATGTATGAGCTGGGTGATTTAAGTATTTAAAGTTGAAAGAAATTAAAGCAATTAAGTTAATTGGTATTAAAATGTATGAGCTGGGTGACTAAGTATTTAAAGTTTGGAAAAATTAAAACAATTACGTTAATTGGTATTAAAATGTATGAGCTGGGTGACTTAAGTATTTAAAGTTTGGAAAAATTAAAACAATTAAGTTAATTGGTATTAAAATGTATGAGCTGGGTGACTTAAGTATTTAAAGTTTGGAAAAATTAAAACAATTAAGTTAATTGGTATTAAAATGTATGAGCTGGGTGACTTAAGTATTTAAAGTTTGGAAAAATTAAAACAATTAAGTTAATTGGTATTAAAATGTATGAGCTGGGTGACTTAAGTATTTAAAGTTTGGAAAAATTAAAACAATTAAGTTAATTGGTATTAAAATGTATGAGCTGGGTGACTAAGTATTTAAAGTTTGGAAAAATTAAAACAATTAAGTTAATTGCAATTAAAACGTATAAGCTGAGTAACTTGGGTATTTTAAGTTAGGTGAAGTGTCTTGCATGAGTACAACAAACTCAAAACTTAATGTTTCTGTTTACTTAAAATAGATAATTTCATAACTTAAAAAATTTGACGTAACTGATTACCTCAAATTTTTTGAGTTTTGTCAACTTATTCGGGATTACAGTGTGGTCTTGTGGTCATTTCATAGGCCCAATCCCAATTCTACCCCCTAGCCCTTCCCCTTACTCATTGTGTGTCTTCAAGTGAAAGGGTAGGGATGTCCCAATTCTCTTTAGCGCGAAGGTGTAGGGCTAAGGGGATGTAACAAGGAGTCTGACACAGAGGGATCCATTTGCAGTATATTTATTAAACACAGTTTATTACAATCACACAGTAAGCACTAGTGTGCGAACTCACATCAAACGTAGCAATATTGGGTCGATAGGCTGGCGGCTGGCTGTCAAGGATAGTGATAGCAGGCATGGGTCAGAAGCAGGCGGCGTGGATAAAAGGCGTTATACAAGGCAGGGTTCGAGGCAGGCGGCATGGATCAAAGTCGAGGTACAATGCAGGGTTCAGGGCAGGCAAGGCAAGGTCAAGGTACAGTCCAGGTAACAACGGGGAGATCAGGCAAGGGTATGAACGCTCAGAAATGTCAGCAATGGCAGAACAAGACTTCGCACTGGAGTGAGTGTTTGGGCTGCTTATATGTGTGTGTGTGTGTGTGTGTGTGTGTGTGTGTGTGTGTGTGTGTGTGTGTGTGTGGTGATCAGTGAGATGTGCTGCAGGTGTGTTGCAATCAGTGTCTGAGGATGACGTAATGTTTAGAAGTCCGGTGATGATGACCTCTGCTGGCCAGCGAGGGGAATGACTGGGACCGAGTCGGTGACAGGGGAAGTGCTAGATAGTCCTTGAAACAGAACTTGTTCAAGACCACAGTCGAAACCAAGGGGTACAAAAATTACCTAGAATACACCATCTACAACGAAAGCATGACTGCACAACATTCATTATTATAATTTTTACAACAAACAAGCTTATGTTTTATTACATTCATAACAGCGTTCGTGTTTTACCGTCATGCTTTTTTTTATTATAAAAACACTAAATTTCACTGTCTATAATTCATAATACTTTCAACATACTTTCACATCCGTCACTCGATAACACTGGAATCCCCTGTCAGAAAAGTCTAGTTGCTGGGAATTAGCTTTTCACAGTGTCTGGCATAATGTTAATGTCGATTTCATGTCTGTACATAGAAGAAGATGGACACGGTGTAAATGCACAGTACAGTTACAAGCTTATTGCCACATTATATCGTTATGATAACATGATATTATTGCTTTCAGTGATTTCCTGAAGATAAAAACTGAAAAATAATGGACTGGAACTGGAATGGAACTGCAACTGGAATATCTACAGCAGTTGCCATCGTCGATCTCATACTGCGATGACCAATGATGACGTGTGCAGGTGCTGTATTGCTGTCTCATTTCTTAGGGGTAAAAATTGAAGCCCTTTCCTTTCACACTCTGTTTCATGGGCCAAGGGGAAAATTAAATTAGGATTGGGCCTTAGTTTGTCTTTTGCATTAATAATGACATTTACGAGGTCTTTCTGCCATTAAAACCTGCAAGTTTCGTAGTTTAAACATCCAATGTATACAATGTGGGGTGTGATGCCACAAGGGAACAAATATTTGCTTATAATCTGCCTCAGACATTAACAAAGAGTTATACATCATTGTGCCATAGGTTCTATTTATTTATAATGTAATTAATTAGTAATACAGTAATGAAAACTGATTTAAAAATAATAATAAAGAATTTAAATTGGTTGTGAATATTATAAGCCAACAAATGATAACACTTAAAAATAATGGTCCATTAGTTAATTTTAGTTCATTTATTTACAAACATGAACAAACAACAACACATTTTATAGTATTTATTCATCTTTGTTAACCTTAACTAATAAAAATAAAGCATTGATTGTTCGTTCATTTATACTTGCAGTGCATCAACTAATGTTAACAACATTCTTAATAACATAAATTATTAACATGATGTACAATATTGTTCAGAGTAAATAAATAAACTCATTCATTCATTTTCTTTTCGGCTTAGTCCCTTTATTGATCAGGGGTCACCACAGTCGAATGAACTGCCAACTTATAAAGCATATCCAGCTTTTACACAGCAGATGCCCTTCCAGCTAAAACCCAACACAGGGAAACACTCATACACTCTCATTCACACACATACACTATGGCCAATTTAGCTTACCCATATCACCTATAGCGCATGTCTTTGGACTTGTCAGGGAAACCGGAGCACCCACAAGAAACCCACGCAAACACCAGGAAAACACGCAAACTCCACACAGAAATGAAAACTGACCCAGCTGAGACTCAAACCGGAGACCTTCTTGCTGTGAGGTAACAGCACTCCCCACTGTGCCACCGCGCCACCCTAACATTAACTATTGGACTATTATTGTAAAGTGTTAACAAAAAATAATTTGGTATAAAAAATAGTTAACAGACTACTGGCATTCATATGAAGAAATCAGACAGAATCAAACATTAATGCTAAAAATGTGATCATTTTTGTCAAGGGCTAAATCACTATTGGTCTTGCAATCATTTGTTAATGCGCCCACAATATGATGTTGAGGTCACGCATTGCAAGTTTTGGGTGATGGTTGTTTGTATGAATGTGTGGTTGTAATCAGCAACACCGAGGTCTATAATCAATCAGCTGTGAGCGGCTGGTTTCTCTCTCTGGGGCAGGAATCCTGCCAGCCATCAGCCAATAAGCCAAGGACCCACACAGAGTGGAATCAATACAAACACTCATACACTCAGCAGCTCAAGAGCGATTCTCTCCAGTCTAGTCTGATGAGAACTCACAGCCGCTGGTAGCTGCTTTAAGAACCTGTGTTTAAAAGATGACATTGCTGGAAACAGATGGACAGGTTGATAAAGAGAGATCATTAAAGTGAAGTTGGTTGTCAATAAAACCATTTGAGTTGATGAATTAGTTCTTCACACAAACAGTACACAGCAAACCTTATGAAAAAGAATTTTCAGTAAAGGTTTATTTCTTTTTCATGCAGTACTCAAGCTACTTTTATTTAAATCTATGGTTTGAGTAGTGTTGTTTATAATGTAATTAAAACACAATTATTATTTAACAATAATTACTAACTGCATTTAATGAGTATTCGCTGATGAGTGAAAACGTTGTCACAAGTTTAGAGGCGAACTGAATATGGTTGTGCATCTTCTATCAAGGCCACAATTTAAATCCTGAGTAGATTAGTTGGTAAACAAAGAGATGAAGAAATAGTCAATAAAGATGTGAGAAGTTCTGACTTAGGTCAGATGGTTATGGCAAGGAGACTGAGTCACAGTATCTCTAAAATGGCGGTACTAACGTTTTTTGTTTTTTTTTTTTGCTAACAATAAGACTCGGCAGTAGTAGTAATACAAGTTACAGATAGTGGTCTGAAATTGGACAAACCACAAACCAGCAACTTAGTGTTGGGTGCTCAAGGCTCATCTGTGCATTGGGGAAGTACAAATCCAATTTATGTAGTGGACTCTGCAAGATATTTTTAAAGATGCTCAAAAAGCAGAGATCCAAGTCTCAAAATAAGCTTCATTGAATTCAGAAGAAAAGACCTTAGTCACATAGCATACCAACCACCATCTCTGATTCAGACTGCTTGTACATCATCATTTATACCCTGTCCTTATCAATTCCATGTGACCAAAGCCCAACTCCGTAAGTTGGTCATATCCCATCTATGGCACAACTCACAAATACAAATGATGGTTATAAGAGGAATGTGTCACAACACACAGTGCATCGTACCCAGTTAAGTAAGGGGCCACAAAGTGCATATGATGACATTTGTCTATTATTGGAAGCACCTAAATGTGTATGTGAGAAGCAGAATTAGACCTTGGAGCATGAGAAGGGTTTTTTTTTTTACATAATGTGGATTGCCATGTGTGTGAGCATCATTTACCTGGAGATGTGATGACACCAACCCAGGCTCATTCTGAATACGTACCCCTATATACATATCTGGAAAGAGCAAAATGCATCCTAGGAGCATTTTTTTTTCTTCAGTTTTGGTTTTCGCGAATCAACTAGAGGCTGCTGTGTACACTCTTTGACATCTCAATATCTGTCATGAGTGCCATTCGCGCCTACTCTTCTAACAAAAATCCCCCAGAGGCCGCTGTTGACTAACTCACTGACTGACTGACTGACCAATCGACCGATCCCCCCACACTCCTCTTTCCCTTAACCCAACCAATAGTATTTTGAAAAGCACCTATTGACCTGCCCACCCCCTTCCCTAAACCCAACCGCAGTGTTTTAAAATGAAAAAGAAAAGCCCCCTAATTTTTACCACATTTTCAGATTTTACAACATTCTCACCCTGATATTTACTTATTTGGCTTTTGTTATGTCTTAGCTGCTTTCTGGATCCGTTCTTCACTGGACTCAGACCCTGTTGTCGCAGTCAACTCCTCACTGCATCTCAAGTTTGCCGACGTACGTGTCGAGCTACTGGACAAACTGGTAACAGCAGAAAAGCCGTTCACATGCAGGTAAGCTGTCAGCTGATTAGTGAGAAAAGAAACGCGTCATGCTATTCCATATTATTAGTTTTAAAGACGAAATGCAGCCATAAGTTAGCTACATAATTTGCGATCTTCAGAAATGTATATAAGGCTATGTTTCAGAATGAGCCTATGTTGGATGACACAGTATGCACCATGGGAAAACAACTGGCTATAGGAGGGATTCTAGTGCTTTGGTCAATGTCATACTTGGAGGCAGTGGGTCTAGCTATTCCTGTGTACAAAAGTTTATCAAGTACTACCAACCTAAACATTGAAGCAGCCCAGAAACACCCACCTCTTCATGACAAGTGTCCTTTATTCAGCAGCATAATGCACCTTTGATGAAGAGTTCAAGGTGTTGGCCTGGCCTCCAAATCCCACTGATCAGAATCTAACTCAAGGTCTGTCGGATTGGATGTCCTGACCAAAAATTTTGATTCATGGTGGCCCCATCTTGCAACTTCCATAACTTGAAAGATCAGCTCCCAATAGATTCCACAGGACACCTTCAGTGGGCTTGCAACATATACATCCTGAAAGGTTGTCAAACTGTTATCCCTCATCTGTGATTACAATTTATTATATGTATTTCAATAAAACCAATGATACTGAACGTTCTATTTTCATACTTTGCAAATCCTAATAGGTTCTGTCTAGCAGACTGTGTGCACGGTGAGCCTCCTGTGGCCTTATTACTCAGCTATCCTGCAAAGGTACGAAGGGTTCGGAGGCACTCACAAATCTTATGCAGTAATGATCTCCAAAGGGATTCTTCTCTTAGAGTCCAGGCCCTTGAGCTACACCGCAGATATTCTTTCAAAACGGACTTAAACTAGAGGGATCTGTACATGGAGGCTCCCTCTAATGTGACAGGTACTGAGGTTCTTGCAACAAGTTCCCTGTCACTGAATACCTGTAAACAAAGTACTGATTGCTGGAGGAACAAAAGCTGTCCTACCAAACTAAGGTTCTATAGGTCCCTGAACAGTCAGACATTGTGCTTCCAAAGAGCTCCTCGACACCCTGAGCTGGTTGAGGGAAGGAGGGAAAAATGATAAGACAGACGAAAGCATGGTTGTACAAACTCCTGACAAGTCACAAAGACAGGACTCGACATAACTGGAGCAGAGCCCCCTCTTCACCTTCCTCCTCCACACACAAAATCTGCACTCGTCTGCACACAAACACAGGAAAACGTGGCTGCAGGCAAATCTACAAGAGGCGAATTGGCAGCTGAAATCAGCATGCACTGACGGCAGATATGTCTCGATTAGCTCACCGTGCTACTTGGCATGAGTCTCTGAATTAGTGTGGTGGGCACAACAGTGAAGTTTATTCCCTTTGTTGCTGATCTCCTGGTAATCACAGTGTCACTGCTACTGTATATGTCATCGCTGCAATTCAGTGCTCACCGCAAACATTCAGCGCACTAAAACCTGAGAATTTTTCACAATGGACTGGTGCTGTAGCTCTGCAGATGGGTTAATTTTGTCTTTCTGTGTCACCCACGGCTGGTAAAGTGGCGGGGGCGGAAGAGGAAGGAGCTGTCGCGCTGAAACAGACACATCCCTCAGCAGCTCTCAAGAAAATCTACCAAGTTAAACAGTGGTGTTCCCTCTCTGCAGATCTGAGCATCCTTATAATTAGACCCATTCGCTCAGCATGACTGCAATGCTACATTTTCTAAATCTCTCTTTGGGACTTCCGCAGTTTGGTTTGCATTAAATGTTTACACTGCACTGATCCCAGTAAAGCCAGCAGAATGTGCGATTTCAGCAATATTTACAAATCTTGCTGAGGGAAATGTCTCCAATGCAATGGATCTGTGTGATGATGACACCTACTGAATTTTAGACTAAGATGCAATTTAAAAGAATCAAATTTCATTAGGATTTGCTAGTGGTAAACAAATGGAAGAATCTTGCTCGTGGGCCTGGCCAAACATGTGACCTCTATAGGACACTAGCAGCCTTTGAACCCAGCAAGCATTTTAAAAGAAGTCTAATAGAGATCTAATAGACATCTATGCAGCAACAGATTGGCTAAAACAGAACTTTGAGCTCGCAGTGAAAATCTAATAGAAGTCTAAGAATAACTCATCAACACACATGAAGTTCGTCTAATCTGTTTATCTGATGACTAGAGTGTAGTTTTGGCCAATTCTTATGCTGTGTTCACACCAGACGCGGAACGCTTGAATAAATCGCGAAATTCGCAAGTAAATAGGAGCATGAACATTTTTCATTTACTCGCTTCATTCGCGGGTCAAATTTACGTCACAATAGATGCAGATTCGCATCATGGGCGGGGCTTCGGTCTGCTTCTGTCAGCTTCGTTGGTAAATGGTTAACATGGATTTTATAGAGAGAATAGCTGTGTTTATGTGCTTTATGAAGGCTGAAAAACAGCGTTGATTCTTTTGGAGCCGTGTCTGAGTACAGTAGATCCATTCAGAGGTGCACCCAGCTCTGTGAGCTCATAAACTCCCCAAAAAATATACCTGGATGATGGAAGCTTTCAGTGGTGCTTCAGACTGAACAGAGCAGAAGGAGGATTTTCCCCTGGGACACCAACAACAGGCGCATGTCATAATCACGTCCCATACAAGAGAAAGCTCCTGATTAGTTAACGTGTCGCGAATGTCCTCTAAAGTTCAGATTTTCCAACCTGAGCGATACGCGCGCCTCTTCATTCGCATGAATCGCATCATTCGCGCCACCTCATTCGTGCGTATTGTGTCGCAGGATGTCTATTCGCTTCTTTGCATTGACTTAACATTGCTTCTTCCGCGTCTGGTGTGAACGCAGCGTAAGACGTCTATTAAATTTTCTGACAGCCCAAATTTAGACTTGAACCGTCTGTTTAGTCTTCTTTTATACATCTATTAAATGCAAAATTGCTTGGAGGGAAATGAGACACAGATTCAGAGTTATAAAATCCATGTGAGGTGGTGTTTAATTCGCAAATGATACAAATATTAAAAACGTTAACATTAGCTGAGCAGTTTAAAGTGTATTGCTGGGATCACACCAAACATGGACTACTGCGTCACTTGCTCTAGTTTACTCACAGGATGTTTTTCACCTCAGTGAATTTTCCGCTTGAGCGAAGTTATTCGAATTTTACATTCACACTAAATGCATTGTTTATTTCCTTTCAAATACACCTGTTCCTGCACCTCCGTTGACTTTTCATGTAATGTACTCAGGTGAATACTTAATTTCGCTTTTAGCTTGCTCCTGCTGGTGTCATCAATCTGGCTACCTACCTGTGCATCAATCCTACATACTACACCTTTAACAATTGCTTGTAATAACTTTTAATAATCAATCTCTTGAAATGAATGCCAAAACTGCGCCCTATACTGACATTGAGAAGAACTGTTGTAAAAAAACGTTTCATTTTTTGTTTAATGTGTGCACAAACGTGTTCTCATAGCTTCATAATGCTCAAATTAAACCGCAAAGACACACAGACTGTTTTGATAATGCTTTTGGTACCATATTGCTCTTTGTATGTCTACTGTCTTACTGTCTATAGTGAATGAGAGAGCTCTCAGATTTCATCCAAATATCTTAATTTGTCTTTGGAGAATGAAAGAATGACATGAGGGTCATTTTTAGACTTTTAGATTTTATGACTTTCATTTTTAGGTGAACTACTGCATCCTTTTAAAGCAATGCACAGATAAACCACATCACAACAGTTTACTCCATGAGGATTTATTATATTCCACTGAGTCTGAACTCTAGTGTACGATACATACATTGTATGTCTCATTCCGCTAAATCTAGTAGATAGTTGCATTTCCAGGGCTCATCAGCTGCACTGAATAGATAAGTAGTAAAGAAGCATGCTTGATTGTCATCATAGATCAAGAGCCCATGAGACAAACCTATAAAAGCTTTAGTCTCAGCGTTCCTCCTTACATTAAGATGTCATTGTACTCTCATCTCCCCAGACTACAATCTTGTGTTGGACCGAAGCCCAACATTACAACTAGAGCAACCCCTAAAGGTTTGCCTTGCCACTGGATAACGTCTTACAGTGCATTTTTTTTTATTCGTTGACGACTGCGGTTGGCTACTGGTGTAATAATGTGAGATATATAGCGGTGGGATGTTTATGTGGTGTGACAGCAGAGCTCACTCCATCAGCAGTCTCCTCAGTTCCTGCGGGCAGGTGACTGGAAGGGCACAGACAAAGTTTTCACACACATACGCGGTTGCTTTGCCATCCTGAGGAACCAGGGTGGAGAGAATAGGAAGCTTATCGTAAAGGAAACCCTCTGTGTTGCCATCTGCCAACATCAGGACCTGAAGAAAAACGAATAAAAAGAGGGGGAAGGGAAGAAAAGAGGGAGTGAGAGAGAGTCATAACTGTCACTCTGATGACAATTTAGCTGAAATGGTGGTAGCGGGAGTCATATAGTTTTAGTCTAATACAAAATTTATGACCCAAAGGACTCCATATGCTTTCTTGGCAAGTAATAACCCTCAATAAAGTACAGGGCAGTGCGATTATAGTGACAGTCCCATTCATGGTTCATTTCTATGGTTTTTGTTTATATCTGGGTGCTCTATTTTCATGACCCGAGGACAAAGGAGCTGCTGTGGGGTGAGACGACCCTGACCTTGGTCATATTCGCATCTTCAAATCATAAGCATAAAAACATTTTTATATCTCACTACTAACACAATCCTAAGCACCAGTATGGTGCAGTTGCAAATCATCTCAGATATATCAGCCATTCGAATGCCATTTCAAGCAAAGTTCAAATACAATTATTAAGAATTAAACCATAGTACTTTGAAATGCATTATATTTAAAAAAAAAAATGGTTAATTGCGATAGGAATTTTAGGTAAAGTCAAAATTTAAAAAAAGTAATTTTATTGATTGTTTGGTTGTAGTTTTAATGCATTTATTTAGTATTTATTGCTAATCTATGAAATATTACATTTATCAAAAAATACAATAATATAAAATTTTGTTATTATTATAAATAATAGTGGCGATGCAGTGGCGCTGTAGGTAGTGCTGTCGCCTCACAGCAAGAAGGTCGCTGGGTTGCTGGTTCTATCCTCGGCTCAGTTGGCATTTCTGTTTGGAGTTTGCATGTTCTCCCTGCGTTCACATGGGTTCCCTCTGAGTGCTCCAGTTTCCCCCACAGTCCAAAGACATGCGGTACAGGTGAAATGGGTAAGCTAAATTGTCCGTAGTGTATTGAGTGTGTGTGTGTGGATGTTTCCCGGAGATGGGTATCCGCAGCGTAAAAATGTGCTGGATAAGGTGGCGGTTCAAAGGGACTAAGCCGACAAGAAAATGAAGAAATAATAATAATAGTATTATCATTATTACAATACACTCACCAGCCAGTTTATTAGGTACACCTTACTAGTCCCGGGTTGGACCCACTTTTGCCTTCAAAACTGCCTTATTCTTTTAAGACAAATTCAATAAGGTACATACATTTAAAAAGGTACTGAAAATATTCCTCAGACATTTGAAGGCCATTTGAGTACAGTGAACTCATTGTCATTTTCAAGAAACCAGTCTGAGACGATTCGCACTTTATGACATGCCGCGTTATCCTGCTGAAAGTTCCATAACAACAATACAACAACAATACTCAGGTGGCTGTGGCATTGACACGATGCTCAATTGGTACTAATTGGCCCAAAGTGTGCCAAGAAAATATCCCCCACATCATTACACCACCACCCCCAAACCTGAATTTGCACCCGAAGAACTGCCACTCACTGGATATTTACACTTTTTCAGAGCATTCTATGAAAACCCTAGAGATGGTTGTGCGTGAAAATCACAGTGCATCAGCAGTTTCTGAAATACTCGGACCAGCTCCTCTGGCACCAAAAACCATGTCATGTTTAAAGTCACTTAAATCACCTTTCTTCCCCCTTCTGATGCTCAGTTTGAACTGCAGCAGATTGTCTTGACCATGTATACATGCCTAAATGCAGTATTGAGATTTGGCAAGCAGCTGGACAGGTGTACATTTTACTCTACAATATGAATATTTTTCTTAACACAAGTTAAACTAAACATTTATTTTGACAGATTTTGTAGGGACACTTGAATTGACACCACATAGAACTCCTCACATATTATTGTACAAACAGTGATGAAAAAAATCATCCCAACACTAGTAACAGCACCTTCCTCAACACACAAAACAGACATACTCAGTTTTGAGGAAATCGCACTTTATCATCAATCACCATCAATCCAATTATTAGAACTGCATTTCTTGTCTTTCCTTTTGTAATTTTAACAAGAAATCCATTATAGCGATGTGCAATAAAGCCACTGTCTTAATAATTCAATGCTATTGATCCACACAGACGGTAGCATCACCGCCTCCCGCTCCTTCACGTCTCTCACAGGGGGCAAAGTCTGAAATAACTCAATCAGGCCAAGTCCAGTCAGGGGGGCTGAGAGGAAAAGAAACCTTTAACTCAACAATACAGCAGCGAGATGAGAGACAGCAGAGAGAGCCTGAGCTGCCCAGTGGCCAAGAGTTACCAAAGGGAGAACGGATAAAAGACTAAATCTACTTTCCTCAGCGAGAAGCCCAAAGCTCAGTGAAATCCAAGAGGAAAGGACTCGTGCATGTGACAGAGGTTAAACCGTAGGGCCGCTTTCAAGGTTCAGCTAAGACCCGGCTTTTTGGAGGATATTCCAGGTATACATGAGCCAGACATTTTTCTCTGCTTTCTGGTCTTGACACGTTGGGTGTGATTTTTGACAGGCATGGTTAACAACTCAACTCAGCCAAACCTGTCCATGGACTTCTAAGTGCAATATATTGTTACTGTCTGTTTGCGAGAAGCTTCTCTTTATTGCATCTCTGGGGCTGAGACAATTCCGCATCATTACTTTTCTGCTAGCATCCTGGCAAGGCTTTCTGTCATATTTGTCGTGACCTCACGCGGGCTGTCTTCAGACTGACTCGAGGAACTCTGACAGTCCACTGAGGCAACATATAAAAAATGACAAGCAGACAAAACAGAGAGTGAAAAGATGCATGAGGCCTGGGGTTAAGAAAACACTGGACTTTCTCGCAGTTCATCTCGTGCTTATCAACTTCGCTCGTTTAAAACAACAACAGTAAATCAGTTTTACAACCAGGTTAAAGGGATAGTTCACCCAAAAATCAATCAAATGATGTACTCATTATTTACCTGTTTCAAACCTTAAGAAGTTTCTTTCTTCTGTTAAACACAAACGAAGATGTTTGGACACCTGTAGCTATTGATTCCCATATGGAACTATAATAGTCAATGGTTTGTAGCTTTCTTCTAAATGCATCTTGTGTGTTCAGCAGAAGAAAGACTCATAAAGGTTTGGAACCACTTGATAGGGAGTTAATAGTTTCATTTTAGAGTGAACTATGCCTTTAGGGGACTACAGGTGAGTTATGGTAAGAAAGAGACATTTGTGCAGGATAAAATAAGTGGACATGGCAACCTGTGAAAAGCAACGCTTCAAATATAAAAAATACATCTCTTGACAGTGGTTTACTTTAAATAATCCATACACAAGTCTGTTAATGCTGTAATATTGCTTCGTTAAAAAAAAAAAAAAAAAAAAAAAAACTGAGAATACCACAAATATGAAAAAGCCAGAACGCTGCTGTGGAATTCCAGGAGTCAGTCGTGCTTAATGCAAGCACAAAACAATGTTATGGTAATCACAACCTATTTACATGTACAGTGCTCAGTACACCCCATTTTGAAAATGAATATCTTTTTCAATTTCTCAGTGAATATAGGCAATTTATTTTGGTGCATTTAAACAAAACTGATTTATTAAACAGATATATTTATTCAAATAATATTTTAGTCATCAAACAAATTTAGAAACTAAAAGATAATAAGCAAAATATTGCAAAAGATAAAAAATACAACCTAAATATAACTAAACTTTTCTTGGGTTTTCTTCTTTTTTTTTAAATTGTATTTAATATTTTTCTATAACATATAAATGTGGGTCTACTAGTTTTTGGATCATTATCTCAAGTTATTTTGTTAGGTAAGCTCCAGATTTGGCTTCAGGACTGACTAATGCACATGCACAAATATAATATTGTATGGCTTCCTATTAAAATATGAAATTTAAAAGAGAGATTTGTGAGGGGTGTACTCATATATATATATATATATATATATATATATATATATATATATATATATATATATATATATATATATATATATATATATATATATATAATCAGACGAGTCTTCGCTGAGGTCCAGCTTCCAGCCTCCGGTGCCTAGACTGCAGCTCTGCACAAGACGTTGGCCAGTGGAGAAATGGTCATGCCCAACTGAGCCTGGTTTCTCTCTAGGTTTTTTAATTCTCCATTTTCGCCAACTGGTTCAGTTTTTTCTTCGCCGCTGTCACCACTAGCTTGCATGGTTCGGATCTGTAGAGCTGCACATCGATTTA